TCAGATGACTTTAGGGTTTAGTTAAAATAGATAGTTAGGATGTGACATAAGCAGATTGTTGTATCTTCTTATATTTTACCTTTATGATTGTTCATTTTGGATACTTTAAACTGTTAAGTTTTAATCCTCTTTTAGACTAAAAGGGGAATTGTAGGGGAAGCTGTAGCCACACCTACTTAGGGGCTGGCTACAGGTGTGCCTGACCATGCCTGTGAGGGCGTGGTCAGAGTGACATAGTGTGACTGCATTTGCGCTTTCGGTTTCACTTTGCTGCTTGCTGTACAGACTACTGCTGTGCCGGCTGGCTAGGTCGCTCTGTAAGTAAGGCTTTTCCCTATTAAATACCCTTATATTTCTACCTGACTCTGTATTGGTAATTTCCACTATAAAAAGTGACTACTGAACTTGCAAAACAAGACAGTTCGGAAGGGTTCCCACTTCATGGAGAAGTCTGGCAGACACACTGTGGCCTACAGGCTGAAGATGGATGCCTCAACATTACAGAGGAACTTTGGGTGACTGTCCAGGCAGTGAGATGTCTCTGTCAGATCTAGAGTTTATATATTATCCTTCTGTGGTTTTTGATGGATTGAAGACAGACAGTTATGGTTATAGTTTTCGTTAGTTATTATAAAAGATAAGTTACATGTAAGACTTTACACTCACAAAGACAGGATAGATAGAATATTTTCTTTACATCTTGCTAAATGATAATGAACTAGATATTATAAATACAGTTCTTACTTGACAACTGCTTTGTTATATATTTTACTATGTTGATATTAAAACCCTTCTTTTTATTTAGACAGAAAAGAGGAGATGATGGGGGAAGTCCTTCTGTGCATATATTTGTCTTATTGGTTGATAAATAAAGCACTGTTGGCCAATAGGAAAGCATGATAGATGGAGCTAGGAGTTGAAGAGGATCCTGGGAAATGTAGTAAAGACAGGAGTCGCCATGTGATCCCTAGGAAGACAGGACGCATAAGGCTGGCATGCTCAATAAGTCTTTATAAAATATATAGATTAATGGTTATGGTTGATACTTAAGACAGAGCTAACATATAAGAAATCCTAGTCATTGTCCAGCAGCATTGTAATTAATATAAGACTTTGTGTTTATTTGGGGCCCTAGCATGGGGCAGGGCTCGGGCAGCTGGCCGAAAGAGCTATCGTGACAGTGGGGGGGGGGTCATAAAACAGGGAAAGAAGTCAAAGTCACAGGGGGGAGGGGGCTCTGTAGGAGAGCGGTCTGCTCTGGATGAGACACTGGCAGAAGCTGCCAGAGCTGGCCCCAGGTACACTGAGCACATTTTCTGGGGACAGGTACATGCTATATGACACTAGCCTACTTCCAGTTTAAGGAGGCTTGGGCCACCCTCTTCCACTTGAATGCGCAGAGCCATCTGGGAGTTAGAGAGCTTGGGACAGATGAGCAGCCTGGATGCTCAGTTTAATCTTCAAAGGGGACCAGGTCTGGGCATTGTATGTTCCCAGTCTCTAAGCAGAGAGGAGCCATCCTTGAGTCCCATATTCAAGAGGCTCCTCCCCAAGAGGAGGCCAGGACTCAGCATCTCTCTGAGTGTCACAGACCCCTTGTCATGTTCACATCATTTCAGAGAAAACACTATTGACACACCAGAGTGAGGACCATAACAGCCCTCTGTTCCTGCCATCACACTTCCTGCTGCAAGCCTGCATCAGGTTCAGGTGTCTCTTGGTGTTGCTAGGGAAGTGGTTCTACCATGTCTGCGAGTATATAAACCCTTCTATGTTGCCTCCTTGTAAGCCTATCCTGTTCAGAGACTCCTGAAGACCATAACTCTCTTCAGGTGGCCTGTAATACCTCAAATGGTATCAGTGCTGAGCAGATAGGTGCTTTAATGTATCTCAGGAAGACACAATAGAGATAGGACAAAAATCCACAGTGTTACTACAGATAGAACTGTTTTCAACCCAATACCGACTGAAACCCAGGATCTGAAGGGTGGCTACTACCTTGCAGAGAAAGCTGAGAACTCTATGTATCCCCCCAGCCCCAGCACACTGAGCTATGGCCACTCAATGTACTCAACTCACTCACCTGGGGTCCAACAACTGGGCTGAGGTCACCTCTCAATTCAGTGTCCCCAACATCTCCAAATCCATCTTCTTGGTGCTTTTTGAAGATTCTCCAGGCTTCTGTCAACCCCTACCTGCCAAAGGCCCCTAAGGCTGGGCTAACAGAGTGCAGGCCCCAGATCTCACCTGAGTCCAGTAGACCGACTCCTTGGCCACCCTCCCTTGGTCCAGATGCTTAGCCTACTCACTCACAGTGGCAAACAGTTGCTCCCTGGTATTTGGCAAGGCCGGTCTCCACAACCGAGTGTCTCTAGAACAGATGGTAATTTGTTGACACTCAAAGACGTAAGGGGACTCAATTACAGTCCCACTAAAAAAAGCTTCCTCTAAAATAAGAAAGCACACAGATTCCTCAATGTGTGGAAATCGCTGACAGCTTTGTTTCCCCGCAGGGGTAAAAAAGAAGCTGACAGCTTATTTCTGCAGGCCCTGCTCATTCAAGTCTATTTTAAGATCATTTTCCTAAGTCAGTACACCAGAATAGCATTCAGCTTGAAAAATCACCATCTGTTTGGAGCACAGGGCAGGGTCTCAAAGGGTCCGGACCAGCGTACCTGACCTTCACAAGGCGTCGGTCTCCTGGGACAAAAACAAGAAGGTGTTTGGGGGGCTCCAAAATAGTGTTGAGAGAATGCAAACATGCCATTGAAAACTGTCATTAACTATTGATATATGGTATTTATAAACTGAAACACACACACACACACACACACACACACACACACACACACACACGCCCTTGACCTTTTAAAAAGCTGTTCAAACAATCCCTTGTATTTAAATAGTTTTCTTGTAAAAAGGCCATCCAACCTTATCTGGGTTGTTCAGATAAAAATTAACCTATGGAAAAGAAAGCCTACTCAGAAAGCTATAAAAAGGCCGTTGCTCCGTTCTTCTTTTCCGGTGACCGGGGCCCCTCCCTCCCTCCCTCTGGCCTCTGTGGTGATTCATGTTCTTCTGTGGAAGGCAGGAGGGCAGCAGCCTGACATATGAGTAACATTAGAAGAATTACTCTGTCCCCAGAGGCAGGGGCTCTTCAGGCTGGGGGCAGGCAGCATGGCGCTAGGAGGGCAGGGTAGGGATGGGAATTCTTGGTGCCTGGCAAGCCTGCGCACCTGGCCACAGGTCTAGGTCATTTTTAGCCCTTCTAAATTTAGCCCCATCCACCTTCTTGAATGACTTGCATCTGAAATGCCATATTCCTCCTATGGGTTAGAAGGCTACTACCACAAGATTGTATACTAAATTGCTAATGATGGACATTTATTGTTTTACAGCCCAGATAATAAACTGTTCCTGTGAGTGGCTCCTCAGGCAGCAAGGACATGACAGGGGTGTCTCAAAACCCCTGTCACTATGCAGTGAGTGCCCTAGTGCCTTCTCAGCAGAAACCCTCCCTGAGTGCCATGAGGTTACAAGACCCCCTGAGCAAGGAACCACGCAGGTGGAGCCTCTAGCTGCTGTGTTTGTGAAAGGAAATCATGCACGTTCTACAATACACAATTCACACACATGCACATTCCAAATATGTGCCATAAGCACATATGCAAATACATGCACACATCCGTGAGCATGCACATGGCAGTCACCCATCACATCATATCACACACACAAAACATGCACCATACATGTGTATAGGTGCACCACACACACACACCACACACACACACAGACCACACACACACACACACCACACACACACAC